AGATCCTAATGTTGTTGCTCCTATAGTTATCTTTATGGTACCTCATGTGCCTTGGAACTTAAGGCCAATTTCCATGCCAAGAACACATTTACCTAAATTGGTAGAATTATTGAAAGAAAAGATGCATATAAAAATTTTGGAGCCTTCTTTTGCTCTTTATTCTAGTCGTTGATTTATGGTGTGGTATGGCATGATTTGCTATCTGGGAATATACTGGGTATCTTGATGTAGAGATTGTAGCTTAAACCTTTATATGAATCTTGTATTAGCCTCCCAAAACACCTTTATTTTGCATAAAACTCAAAATATAACAAAACGCCATCAAAACATATTTTTTTTGCGAAGGATTTTCTTGTCTCGAAGTTTAGAAAATCATAATTCTTGATCTAACTATTCAGATTGTTTCAAATTTATAAGATAGGTAGTATTTATCCTTAACTTTTATCACAAAAAAAAACCAACTGCAAATTCACTCCCGATCTTATGGCATCTAAGGAACCCTAGCAGATGCTCTAAACCCTAATTTACAAGCACTCGAACACTATTTTCTTAATATCTCAAGAACCCAATACTCAAATGTCATAAAACTTATGCATAAAGTTTACTTACATGAAATTACATATTTTTTTGAATTTTGATCTAAGACCTTGTTAAATTGCTTAAATAGCTCAAGAGACAACCACTAGCAAAACGGGTTACTTACTACCATTAGATTAGATGCACTGATTTCAAAATCCAATAACTCTTTTAGTTTAACTTAGAATCCAGTAAGCAATGTGTCAAAAGTTTAGCCGCAAAAGTGCTCCCTCCAAACGCGGTCGCAGATCCTCAATTGTTATCCGTACGCATGCGTTATGCCAAAAAGAGTGATAGTAGCTCCCAAATCAATACCTTAACTTTGAGTGCTTGTATCTCCTTCATATAAACTCCAAACCATACAAAACTTGTACCAAAACCATAGCCAAAAATCTAAACCTTCTGACCCTAGCCTTCAAAATTTGAATGGTGCCGAAAATCTAACCCTAATTCCTAATATGGCATCGGACAGCCTCCTCAAAGCCCATTGGTCATGATTTTTGACCAATAGGAATGGAGATTTTCATCATTCATCTCCATTCATCTATATTGGTGCCCTAATTACTCCTTTTGCTACCAAAACCCTTCTTCAATCTTTTTTCTTATAAAGTTTACATAATTTATGTTCTAAACACCAAATAAAATAACCAAAAGAAGTTTTCAAAGGTCACTAATTTCTAACAAAGGTGATTCTAAATATTTAGAAGTTACTATGAACCAAAATCAATCTTAAAAGCCACAATAAAAAAGAAATTAAAGTTAAACAAATTCTATAGTAATCTTTTCAAACAACCTCTTTTTAAGGTAATAATCAAATTATATTCTACAACCAACTAAAATCAACTAACATAGCTCTTATCATGTAACTTAACAAATTATATATTAAGTATATAATTACATTATTTTCATATAATAGATGAACCACAACACGACAATAGTACCTAAGAAAAATGGATCGTTACGTTTTATTCAAGATATGCAACCAATGAATGCAGTAACTATAAGAAATGTAGGTATAGGACTTTTAGTAGACGAGTTTGCAGAAGCATTTGCAAGAAGGGCAATATATTCAATGGATGATTTATTTTCGGGTTATGATCAATTTCAACTTGCACATGGGAGTAGAGATCTAACAAGAATGAGAACGCCACTTGGATTGCTTAAAATGTGAACTCTCTCAGAAGGTGCTACTAACTCAGTTGCACATATGATGAATGGGATGAACAAGGTACTAAGAGACTTCATTTCTGAAAAAACTATGCCTTTTTTAGATTATGTTCCTACCAAAGGATATAAAGAAGGAAAAAAAAGATGAAACTTTAGATGAGAAAGGGTGTCGCAAATATGTTGTTGATTATATACAAGTTTGTGTAAAGATTTTAACTCGACTTGAAGATGTTCATCTTACACTTTAAAGAGTAAAATCTACATTTGGAGTACAGGAAGTTCTTATTGTTGGGCATTTGTGTGGGTTTTATGGGAGAAAGCCAGATCCAAGCTAAGTTGATGCAATTGGAAGGATGAAGGATTCATGTGACTCTTTAACAGAAGTACGCAGGTTTTTAGGAGCTTGTGTATTTTATCTTATATGGATTCCTCATTATGCTCATGTAGCGGATCCTTTGTATGAATTATTATGTAAGGATTATCGATTTAAATGGGAAAGAAACTTGCTACTTTCTACATCAATCCAAATCTGTAAACTAGTACTTTGGTGCCTTGGACCTTTCTGCATTTTTGCAGTGATTTCTGATATTGCATATCGCCTCGAGCTTTCGCCACATATTTGGGTCCATTTAGTCTTCTATATTTTGCAATTGAAGGAATTTCATACCGAGCTAAAGCACTTTCCAAATTGACACCAACGAACACCACCACCAGTTGTAGTTGATGATCAACAAGAATATAAAGTGGACAATGTTTTGGAACATCGTTACTTTTGTCGTGGTAGTGAATGTCCACAACTTCAATTCAAAGTTCTTTGGAAAGGTTATTCTATTCACGATGTAACGTAGGAACTTATACAAAATCTCACCCATTGCCAAGAGATAATTTGGAGATTCCATCAAGAGTAAAACGAGGACATTCTGTATTAGTGGAAGAAGATTAACTATATAAAGGTATAGATAAAGATAATTATATAGATAATTAGAACTATGGAAGTTTCTAGAATTGAAGTTAGGTTAATGGACTAGGTAGGATCTATCGTAGAACATTCTAGAAATGATTTAGGACAGTTATATAAGTGGAGCCTATCATAGAACCATCTAGAAGAAAGCTTAAGGCGATTATTCAGATGAAGCCCATTATAGAATCTTCTAAAAAAAGAATTTAAAGTGGCTATTTAGATAGGGCCTACCACCTAGGAACATTCTAGAAAGTCTAGGGTAGTAGGAGAAGGTATAAATAGGACTGGCCAGGGCCTTTTGGGGCATTTGGTTAGGTATGTCTTTGGAGTCTTTTTCTTAGTAAAGTTTGGTTCTATATCTTTTTGTTTTGTTTTTGTTTGCTCAGTTTTGTCTTTCATGTTTTATTCTGATTAGTTTCATTCAATTTTTTTCTAATATGTTTTGTCTTATTTTGTAAGAAGGCCTTATATTCTTGTAGATCGGAAGGATCTTAGATTTTTGAGATAGTTTAGTCCTATTTCATTTTCTATATATATGCAGCATCATTAGCTTGCTTTGCAAGTTACCAATACGTGGTTAACTTGTTGACGAAGTTTCTAACATATCAATTAATCACAAATACAAATAAAGTCAAAACAACATCTTGTCACGGACATACATATAATTACCTATATGAATAGATAAAAGTATGTAAAAGTAGGTTAATTGTGTAATATCTTCTAGAGAAGCTTCTTAGAAGCTTCATAGATGCTGCTTTGACTTTATAGGAGTCTATAGTTGACTTTTAGGTTAGAAACTTGGTCAACAAGTTAGCCATGTGCCACGCATGTTGGAAGCTTAAAGAACAAGCTAACTACGTGGTCTATCCATAGAAAACTTGCCTTGCAAGCAAAGGCATGTGGCCTAGAAAGTCAACATATATTGGAGGTCTTATAGAACATCGCCACGTGGCTTCTAGTTAGATAGTATATATAGAGGCAAGAGTGAAGCCCTCTTCACTCTTGTCAACTCCTTTCTTGCTTCTAGTCTAGTTTCAAGGGTCTCTAGTTTTCTTGTATTTTGGCAATAGCCATTCCAGTTTCTTTCTTAATATACATATTTCTATTTTGTCCTATTTCTTTTTGAGAAAAGTCTCACTTACTCTTTAGCTTTCATCGAGTTCTTGTCCCTGACACATCTATAAAACTTCTAATAAGCTTCATTAAAAAATATTATGAAATAAATCTACTTTTATTTACTTCTAAATCATATAAATAAATATTAGAGTAAATATGTATGTTAGTGATACCACATCATATTACCTTAAATTAGGTAATAAAACACCTATACTATATACTAATAAAACAAACCTTTAATCTATAGCATAATACTTTATTATAACCTTACATGAATAATAACCTAATAGATTCACCAAAATAAAATAAAATAAAATAAAAAACCCAAAAAATCATGAAGAAATTGATATAAAAAATAACACAAACAAACCTTGCAAACATAAACAAGAGAATACACAATTGAAACAGAATCCATTGCAATTGATAAGAAAGAGAAACAAGCATTGCTCAATCTCAGTCAGTGGGTCCATATAGATAGTCAATCACCTCCATCACATATGTTACTCCTTTGATATAGATTGATTAGTTTAATCAGCATCTCTATGTGGAGTGTTGATAACACTTTCTTTACTCACCTTTTTGTGTGAGCATCTTCTTCAGTTCACAAAGCACCCTCATGCTAGTTTGTCGAACAAGCTCAAAAGCTCTTGGCATTAAATCAGTGATATTACTGAACTATGTCGAAAGATGAACTTTTCGGACTCTGCTAATCGAGGGGCTATTGATCAGGTAGATGCCTCATGTGCCAGTGGACAGAAACATGCCCATTGAGAAACTTCACTTCTCCCTAAATTATGTCGTCGCTAGCTGCTCTATCATTTTCTCGTGTTGTGTAACTCTACCTTGCGTGTATAGTGGGCTAGGTATATAATATATGTGTGTGTGGGTGTGTTTGTGGGGGGGCGGTGTATGTGTGTATGCTTTTGGTTGCGGGATGACACGAAAACACGCAACTTGCGCCATCAGTGTTGACCAAATCGAACCAATGTTGTCAAAGCTCCAGAATCAGTACACTGTTGAGATTGGGTGCACGTTGCAGCATCTCCTCGTTTCCACCGGACTCTACGTCGGCACTTTCAGATAATTTCTATCGGTTTCCTTGTCACGTAGATGAATGGCTGTGCAGAGGGTCCCACAGCTGCGAATTCCCAGATTGAGAAGCTTTCAATTTGAGTATCCACTTGCTGGAACTTGTCCCTAAACTCCAGAAGGTTAGCGACAATTTCGAAAGAAAGAATCGTTTATCATTCAGTCTCGAAGATTCCCACTTGAAAGTCTCCGTCATCTCCCAATAGAAATATATTTCATGGTCATTTAGCCGTGAAAGAAATCGAAGGCTGTGTTGCTATTACTGAAATAGTGTTGTTTTTCAGGCAAGTATCTCCACCAAAGTGTTTGTCACTTGCCATGCTTGAATTTCTAGGTTATGGATGATGGATTTTGCTATGAAATGGAGGCTGGTTTGCGGCATGGGCAGTTTCGCACCAGAGCTTTCGAGAAGCCTGGCGCTGCAGGGCCGGTCTAGGAATCGCACGCAGAGGGGGAGTGCTTGCAATCGTGTGTACGCTGTGGATTCCGCGCAGTCGATGCTGAACACTAACCCTCAACAGAAGTTAGATACTCGAAATGCAAGTTCGCCATGAAAACTCATTCACCATTGAGGTTTACGAATCACTAGCGTGGGATATGCTGCAAAGGAACTTAATTCGACAGTGAGGTTCGTTAGCCCGAACCGTAGATCCATTGCAGTAAAATGACGTTTGTTGAGCATCAGCACTGATGATGTTTGCGAATCAACCATAATTTTTCTCATCGGGTGATAAATGTGCCAATCTAGCTGTTCGTATGGTAATTGGATTGCAGTCGATGGGCGACGCACTTTTGCAATACTATCGCACCAGATAACAGTCTGAAGCCTCTCAAAACAACTTGGGCCTGCATTGCAATAAAAGAGAAACTTGCTTTGGAGATTCCTCATGCAGCAGCTGACAGAATCAAGTCAAACAGGGGGATACGACCGATAATGCCACCTCTTACCCACGGGCCAAGCTGATTTTTTTTCCCGTACTCTTTATCCCTCTCACAATGTTTAACACGAGGATCCAGAAGTAGACGTCGCAAGCCTATTGATGGATCGAAGCAGATGGGGGTGCAACCATACTTAGAAGATTCCTGAATTTATTAGAACATTCTGTAGGAGAATTCGCTTGCTTGAGGGTCACATTCATGAGCTCAGTTTCCGATCCTCCCACCGTGGGTCGTATTATCAACCTTAGGCTTCTGAATTAGCAACAATCTAACTCACCAGTTAGAATAAATGCATCACCCTTCACCACATGCTTGTACGTCACCTTGTAGTTTGGAGCTTGCCAGATGGTGTAACCCTAACCCTAAGCTCGAGGTTACATATTTTCACGAGTGTGTGGACAATACTCTTGGTGCAGAATTTGCATTCAGGTATGATTCAACAAACTTGTTACAGCTGATCTTATGCTTCATGAGATTCTGTCACAAAGTAATACAAAATTTTACACTCACGACAAAGCCATTGTCTCTAACAACACACAGTTTGCTAAACGTGCTTTAAAACCAAGCTATTCTCTCTGTCTTACTCTCATGATGCGGATAAGTAGGGTGGATTGTTCTTCACGGTGTCGTGTAATACAGACTTCTGGATATCCATCAAGGTTGTTTTGTTTTACCATATTTGTGTCAGAAATCAAAACGCTGACCTACGGCTGACCCAATGCTGACCCAATAACCAAAACCTGGACACCCAGAAGTCTGTATTACACGACATAAGACTACTAACTGCACAAGTTCTGACACGCACACACACACACAAACACAAGTATTGGTTTCATGGTGAGAAACAACCGGGATGCACTGAATACTCAGTGCAACAATGTGTGAGCTAGGCACCATTCTCTTCTTCCTTTCTTTCTTTCTCTCCTCCTTTCATTTCCTTTCCTTCTAGTCATTTTTCTTTTCCTTCTTTGCGTTTTTTTTCCAAGTGGTCCTCGTGCTCTGTGAAACGCCAACCAAATGTTGGTTAAAAGCTCAGTGCATTTGCCAGGGTTGAAGGGAGGGAAATGAGAAAGGACAGTTTGTTTAGAGTGATGGGAAATCAGGTGGTGTTTCTGGAATAAGTTGTTGAGGAGTGTGCCATAAACTCTCACATTTAACCTCTTCAGGTGTCCTTCCCATGATAATATCATGGGAATCTCTGAGATAATTATATTGGGTGCTCTTAAAGGGGGGCCTGAGCTCCCTCCCCTTCCCCTTCCCCAGTACTGAAGCCAAAGCCAAAACCAAAACCATCCTGCATTAAATGGCTTTTATAAGATCTCTAACTCTTGCTTTAATTTTTCTGTCCTCGCAACGCCACTGCATGATGGCAGCTGTACCATTACCCTCTTTACTCCGAAACCAACCTTTGAAATATATCGATATATATATATATATATATATCTGTATTTGTAAGTAAGTGTATGTGTACGCACTTATATTCAGACTGCCAGATTCATCCCATGCAAGTCTAATTTCTGGAACGATCATTCTCAAAAAAAAATGAAGGAAAAAAAAGAGATGAAAAGAACCTTCTAATGTTGACTTTAAAGACGCTGCCAGGAAGGAAAGCTACAGAAAGTGAGAAGACAAGCAGAAAATTCCGGTTTTTTTTTTCAAGCATTAATAATAAGAATAGTTATAAGACACAATTGATTTTAAGACTCAGGTGGAGATTTCCTTGGGAGTCTAAGCGAGTTGAATGATAGAGGAGGAGCTTCAACGCTGTCAGCGGATACAAACCCACCTCTGATTCTTTCAGGCTGTGGTCCCCCTGCTATCCAGAATTTTGAACTTGTCTTTTAAAAAAAACATTAATATTCTTATAATCGCCTCAAACCCTAATCCATCCAGGTTCTGGGAACTTGATGCACAAAAACCAATAAAATCGAAAAGGCCTCTGGAAAAGCGAAAATGAAAACCGTGATCAGTCCTCTACAATTAGCTTGGATGAATGCCGTCGAACAATCCAAAGGCAATTATTCCATTTTATTCTTTTATATGTTTCGCCTTTTAATAGAATGATGCCAACCAGATCATTGTCGAAGGCTGTGCAGTGTGGTGCTTTTGAGGGCAGTTTTACTGTGTTGTAAGATTGGTTAGAATCAACCTCAGGTAAAGAAAACGAACGAACGTGTTCATATATATACACACACACACATATATACTAAAAACAGAATGTCTCTCATTGTTGTCTCTAAAAACATCCTCTGGAATCAGTAATGCATCATTTGAATGACAAAAAAGACGTAACTGTATGAAGTGTTTCACGATGAGATGAAATACTGCTCGACGCTATTGTCAAATCTCCATTCTTAAAACTGTCTTTTCCACAAAACTCCACCCATGCTCTCAATCAACAATCCAAGTCTCGGCAGAGCATCGATGCGACGAAAACCAACACACAAAATCATCGGAAAGGATGAGAGAAGATCGGAATGAGCAGGTTTGCATGGACGAAGAAGTCTCTGCGGGTTGAGAGGCACCGCTGCGCAAATCCACATTCCAAGGTAGCATTCTACGCAAAAAATTTCTAGCACTAGAAAAGTCAAACGATTCTGCCTCAAATCACCAAACACTGCAAAGCTTCGAGAACCAGTCAAATGGAATGGAGGGGACTGGGGGCGGAGGGATCGATAGCAAACGCCGAAGCTGGGGTGAAGCTGCTTGACGCTGCAGTGAAAACTCCTTTGAATTCTTATCCTCACGCTGCTGCTGCACATCCAGCTCCCCACTTCTGCCTTTGGTCGGCGACGCATCGCGCCGTCCGTTGCAGCGATGCGGCTCCGTCGCCATCCCTCAGTGTAGGCGGCTGCTGCCACCTGCGTCGTCCTGAGACGGATGCATTGACGCCCTTTTACCCGAAGCCAAATTTACCCACTTGATTGTAGAACGGCACTTGCGGTAAACCTGTCCACACAGCCCCCCCAGCGCCGCCCCTTCAACACTCACAATGTGTTGCCTCAAAGCGTGTTGATATTCGCCCAAGGTTCAGTAATTCTCGTGGTGTCCGGGTAGGTGTCCTCTATTTTTGCATTGCTCATCGAGGCTTCTACCAATTGCTCTGTGTCTGTCGGCAGTCGCAGTGGTTGAGTCTCTGAGTCTGAGCGACAATTGTGGGGCTTGATGACCTGTGTTGCGCGTTGAAGTGGAACAATCGTTGTTGGTTGTTGGTTGTTGTCGTACAGCTTCGAAGCAGAGAAGTGCTGTGGGGACATTGTCGCGGTGTTTTTGGGGGTGATCGGTGATGTTGCTGTGTTGAGGACGTGTTGTTGTTCCGAGCGTTGAGCTTAGAGTGCTTGCGCAGTTCGCGTCTGTGAATTTTGAGTATACTTTATTGAGAAGTCCACATAGCTTGCCGCACTGGCTGTTGTCGCTTTGGGAAGGTTTGGACTCCGAATAGTGCTCTGCGTCGTGAGATCACCTGTGTACAGTCTCCTCATACAGCTTCATCTTTTCGTTTTATGGTTTTCTTTCTGCTTCATGCCCCTCACTCCGCTATCACATCCCTGAGCTTCGGGTTGGCCATCGGCTAACTTCACTGCGACAACATTTTTCTGAACTGGTCCGTCGTGAATCGAGGATTACAGAGCACTAGATTTTCTATGTGTTGTTAATTTGTCACGGTAGCACAAAGAATTTGTTTGACAGAGGGTTTATTGCAATCTCTCCCCGTTAATGCCAAGTTTTGCTTGGGGATATTCTAGCGAAATCAACACGCTTTGAGGGCTTGAGCAGCGCTTGTCCTACAATGGCGAGATGGCTGGTGGGAACCGCACACGGTGCCATATTCGAGCAGGGTAATCAAGTCACTGCGCTGTTATCAATGGTCATCGTCTTTTTCGTCTGCTTGACGATGGTAGTGGGCTTGTGCGCTGCGCACGGCAACCCTCAAGTGCTTAACCGAGACTCGGAGCCCGAAGTCGAACATGCGGTCGAGACCAGTAAAGGTAGTCAGCGTTTCGGCCCCTTTGAAATCAAGTCCAAGCTGGGATCCTTCCGAAAATCGTCCTTCCGAAATCCCACCAGCTTTCGACACTCGGGCTCCTTCAGAATTGATTGCAAGTCTCAGGTAACCATAAAATCCACGCACCTCACACACTCCTCACAGGCAAAGCTTCCAAAACCACCGTTTCGATGCACAACCATGCCGTTTAGGGCATGGCCTCGCAGATTTCTCCAGAAACAATCCAATTCTTCACATTCTGCTCACGTTTTACATCCTGTGCAATTGTTGTCCGATCAGGTGGATGTGGTGGACGCCTTTCAGGGAGGTCACACAGTGGAGGAAGATCCGAATGCAGAGCCCGCGGTGTGGCAAAGATCGATCCTGCGCGGTGAGCGTTGCGCTCCTCTCGCATTCTCGGGACTCATTTTATACGACGACAAGGGCAATCCCTTGAACCCGGACTTGGTGAACAACTCAAGATCGATAGCGTCGCGCTAACTAGCAAATTCATGTTTTTATCGGTTCTACCGGCCGTCTTTGTGCACATATAAGACTGGCGACTCCTTCGCTGAGATTCGGAGCTCAATCATGCAACACGAGCGATAAATTTGACCGATGTAGCGTTTGAACCCACAAAGTAGAGGTTAGAGAATCAAATAGAGCCTTTTGTAGCACCGCACGTGCGACTCCAAGGTTGTGGCACAATTCCATGAAGACTGACACACTGCTGCGAATACAACGATCGTAGATTGTATATCTGTGTATCTGTACGCTGACATAATTGCCAAAGTGACGGGGTTTTTTTCGTTGATATGAGAGGGACAAGTTGGATCGATGATTGGTAGTTTGGCAGAACCATGTCACAAACCAACTGAATGCCGGGATGAACGGATTTGCTATTGAAAGTTCATTGCTGAGAGTACCAGAAAGTGTGAGATTCTGCGACGATTGCATTGTTTTCGAGTGTCCATGCATAAAGAGCTGATTCTTTCCACCCATGCATAAAGAGCTGATTCTTTCCACCTTTAAAGAGCGTAGGAATGGGGAGGATATTCTCTTTCAGTGCTGCCCAGCTTTACTCTATGTGCTAGCAGTAGCAGACAAAACTGACCCACTCCTCGCAACCCCAAACTGCTGTTTTGGCAGTGAGGTACATTAACAGCTTCACAATAGGAGAACACCCATCTTTTAGTTTCAAGTCCACCACATTCCCTTGCCAGTCAGAAGCTGCGAACAAAGACGGCTGCTCCTGGCGCTGTGATTAGCTCCAGTTTCATGGTTTCGGCTACGCTGCTCCGATGCAAATGTTTCCACTTCTGCACCACCGCTTAGCCGATGCGTCCTCCTCATGTGCGTAACAAGTTTTTGCTTCTTACTTTCATTGCTTAATCGAGTGCTGGAACTGCTCCGAGCTTCGTCAAGAATGTTGCACATAGCTTCTATGTCTGCATGCAATGCCGATCATGGTTGGCATGCCTAAAAAAAAACATTACATCCTTAATTTGTTGTTGATGTATTGTATCTGAATTGGATGATGACTTAGAGTGTGTGTGAGTGTCTCTCACATGAACTTGAATGTTTGTGAACTGTTTACGATGAGTGTTGAATTGTAAGACGTATCAAACTCTTCGTTTAAGATAGGCACTTTATTTGTTGGTGTGAAATAAGAAAATTTCAACATACTCATTGCAAAAAAGTACCTTCAGTATGTATATATACATACATGAGAATTTTTCTGTACATAAATTGTGTGTTTATTGGGGTTGAGTGCATGCATATTATGTAAACTAGGCGTTACGTACTTTGTAGAGGGTTGGTACAATATTTGTATATTTTATCCGACAAGAAGTTCTGGGTTTTTTCAGTTACTATGTAAATAGTTTGGAGTGGATGTGAGTAACAAATGTTACTCATTTGTACGTAATTTTTTTTGACAAGTCAATAATAATTTAACACTTTTCATTGCTGACATGAATTGAAATAAGTGTTTTGTTACATTTCCAATAAACAGAGGATTTTTTTATAGTAATTGACAATATCTCTTTGCCATTGAAATTGTTGAAATGGATGGCATAACAATATCATAACACTTGCATCAAAGCATATATTTTCTCTCACTAACTAACTAACTAACTATATATATATAGAATAACCCACAAAAAACAAAAAACACTAATGAATAATAGCAATAAAAAAATACAATCTTTTTGTTTTACTATTCAAAAGATTAATTTCACAAAGATTTCCAAAAATAAAAAGAATTAAAAGTTTTAGATAATATAGAGCCATAGACTATAGATACATAAGAAGATATTAAAATTTGGTATAATAGTTGTAAATATAATCAAAATTATAATTTAAGAAATATTATTTAAAATTAAAACTATTTATTTTTGTAGATGATTGTATACAAGTGATATCCACATAGTAAGAAAAAACTATCTACTTTATATATATATATTTTTCAATTTAAAATATATTGATTTTATTAAAGAACATACTTCATAAATCTAAATTTATCCACCCATCCTAACCAACATAAAAAAAAATGACATCTAGATTCATTTCTCCATTATTGGGTTCAAAACCAATAAAAACCAACCACATTCATTATGATTACCATATTCTTCATCATAGGTAGGTTGATTTAGTAAAAACCTCAGTCTATTTAACATTTCTCTATATTAATTATTTTATTTAAATACTATTTTGAAAGATGCAAGCCAAATTATTTATTTGTTCTATTGGTATTTTATTTCTATTTTTATTTTTATAAATTTATGTCTCTATATTTCTATATATCTATATATATCTATATATCTATATATATCTATATCTATATATATATATATATCTATATACACATACTATTTTATATCTTTTCAAAAAAAATTAACACAAATCTGATGATATCATAAAAATTAAAATAAAATTCTTGTAGAGACTCTTTATAATGATTTAACTAAATTAAATATTAGAGGGGTTGGCTTTTATTCTTTTAAATTCAAAAATAATAAAAATAATATTAATTGGAAGTTGGAATAAAATGTATAAATCACCAATAAATAACTATGCACAATAAAATAATACATAGAACAGCAAGTAGATATTAACACAATAGTGATATGTTTTAAAATTAGACATTTGAAAATATTATAAGTCTAGAGAGATTTTAAATATCTTCAAATATTAATGAAGTGATATAAAAAAATCTTCAAAAAAATGAACAGGTTAAAAAAGAATAAAAGAATAAAGAAAAATACTAAAAATAATATAAGTATAATTGTTTTGGTTGTACGATTTATTATTGAGGTGGTTTAAAAATTCCTCGGATATTTAGTATTGTACAATACTAAAGATAAGGCACAATAGTTGTTATTTACTATAAGATATAATTAGTTGTTTCATTTATTTCATGCGTGTATTAAAATATTTTATTGTAATTATTACACTTAGTTTATCATGATTACAATCTTTGTTTAAATATAAAATGAATCATAATTTTTTTATAGATGTTTATTATTTTATAACTTGGTTTTTTAAAATAGTAGTTTGTCAATCAGGTTTTAATTGAAAAATAATTTTCAGATAAATTGAATATTACAAACATGAATTAAATTTGTAAAGATGAATTATTTTAAAAAACCTATAACCTAAATTTGAATTACATTGCAAATGATAAAAAATTCCACAATAACTTTTGCAATTAAATTAATAAATCAAACATACTTGAATTTTATTGTAAGAGATAAGTGTCAATTTAAAATATATATATATATATATATATATATATATATATCATAAATTTTACATTTGCACTAAGTATAAATCATAACTTACCAAAAAGAAATGTATATATATATATATATATATACATATCCATATCCATATAGAGAATATTAAAATAAACCACAATTCCTTTTATTTTTCTTGTGACATCTCAAGAGATCATATAGCATGACTATATGAAACAATAGAATTCAACTTAAGTTTTTTTGAATTATAAATATTTAAAATCTAAAAATCAGAACATAAACACATATGTTTTGAATTCAAGACCAATAAATAAAAACTTAAAAATTGAAAAATAAATAAGATTTTGATTAAAGATGAGAATCTATCATATTAAAAATATACTATTTTACATTTATATTTGATAAAATAATTATCCATTGTAACAATTTTTATTTAAAGTTTATTTAATTTTTTTTTTACCACTTTTGAAATTTTTTACTGAATAATCAAACAATATAACTACATGCTATATATATAATAAAATACATAATTAAAAAATATTTAAAAAAAAACTCCAACGTACCAAACTCAATAGAAACTAGAGGTTGGTTAAGACCAATTATGTGACAGTGTACTACAAAAGTGGCTATCATATTATTAAGCACAACCACCTCTCGATATCAGCCATCTTATCAACCTCCTTCCGAAGCAAATACCCCCTCTCACCGACAACGTCAAAAAACATGATCTGGTGTGCGCTTCCTCGTTCCGGTCCACCTAAATCTGCAACTATTTGAGCATCTTTGCCTGCAAGTTTCAGAGCCTGCTTTTGCTTTCCAAGCTGAATTTGCAATTGGTGCAGGAGGAGAGAAGGTATTGGTAGTGACCCAGTTGTTGGCACAAAAAGGCTTGACCCATCTGCAAACGACGCATGCACCTGCATGTGGCTTAGAAAACAAGATTGTGTCGCTAAAATAATAATATGCGTAAGTGTGCAGAGTGCAATGAATCTACTGCTGTCCCAGCAAGGATGAGACAGAAGAAGATGACGGTGCTCCTATGTAAAGCCTGTACAACAGTGGTGGAAGAAACGACGGCGAGGTCGATGATTTGGAACTAAAGTTTCCTTTCGGAGGTTGGAGATGGTGTCAAGGGGGGAGGAGAGCCGTTATCTCACATCCACAGGAGATCTATGTTGTGTCCCTGTTCACCACCACATTCAATTGTCCATCATCCTTTTCTGTAATATCTCCGGAGCAATCACATACTCAGTGAGCAGTAATGTTTGACTATGTGCTCGAGTGCGATTCCTTTTGCATTTCGTAGACCAGAAGATTGCTTTCGGAAAAGAATTTGGACGTAACGAGTTGTGGTTGCATGTCTTTCCAAGGTGATTTTGGAGTTGAGTGGGTGTGTTTTTAGTTGTGTATTGATGAGGTCGTTGACAAGTCTCGGAATTTGTAGAGAAAATTAAACCTTACTTTGGGGTGCTCTGGACTGGTTAACATTCGGGGAGAATCAGAAATTGTAGAGGAAGAAATGAAATGGATTGGATTCTGTTCTATTTCAGATAAAATAACTGTATGCTGGAAGCTGAAGGGGATCTAGACAGAAAAAGCTTCGTAAATTGGATCAGTTTAGATTGGGCTACTGATTAGAGAACCCCTAACAGGAAGATGTAATTGAAGAAACTGAACAGCGAACCCTGGTCATTGATGATCTTGATAAAGACGAATATTTTGTAGGCTTTTCTACCAACGGACGAGACATCAAAAGCTGCCTTAAATCACTGTACAGGGTGAAAAACAACGTTCAGCTGATTGGAAAAATTCAAGTAGAACTCTTCATCGTAGATGAATGAATTGTGGGGAGTAATCGTCTGAACTGTCGAGCTCTGCATGGAGATAGCAAAACTAGACAAGTGAAACAAAATGCAAAAGGAAAAAGTAAATCGTAATGAGCAAAGCGAACAGAATTGGGTGTACACGACAGAATGTTTTCACATGATCTAGAGCTGACAAAGCTCTAAACGGTGACTATCTTATCTCTACATGTCAATTCGATGCTTAAAACTGTAACCAGTCGCAAAGAGAAGGTTTATATTGAACTTTAATCAGTGCAGCAGCCCTAACTAATGAACCTGACGTGCAACGAAAAAAATGAACATCCAGTACACCAAGTGCACTATTTTTCATTGGAAAAATAGACAACAACGTAAGAAGTGAGCGAAGCATAGAAAGGTGGATTCAGAAGCCAAATTTGAATCCTCCAGTCATTGAATCAGCAGCATTGTCCCATATTGAGACCTTAGCCCTACGGTGGGCGGCCTCTCGTGCTTCGGTCTTCTCCTTTATAGCCTCTACTGACCCAGGGTACAAAGACTCGTATCTGGATCGGAACTTCTCGTACAAATTAACTCGGTCTTTTGTTCCTGAAACCAAATGCTGAGAATTTGGCCTGCTCAGAAATTCCAGCACATTTAAGATGTTGCTCCTGTAATACGTCCACACACTCAAATTAGAGTTTAAAATGGGAGAATAAAACCTACCGAAGCAATCATGGCATAAATATCGTGTAGATATGCTCGAAAAGCTGATAGAAATTGGGTAAAAACGACTCGAGAAGAATTTAAGGTCCATATGCTTGCATATGTTATCAGCAAAACATCACCGCGAATAACACTACATGCTTCGGACTGCATAAGAAATTAGAAATTATAAGCACGTTATAACACCCCATACCTGCTTACAAAATTTTGGGTGATCGCAATGGATTCCTCCAGATTAATCACAATGTGCCACCATCCACGTGGCACAAACACAACTTCCCCTTCTCGACATATACACTCAATTGGCCTTTCGGCCCGCTTCTTGGTCTCGCCATAAAAGTTCATGAACCACTCTGTGATGGAAACTGGGGTAGCCACGTCAGCTCCATCAGGACTTGGAAACACACCTGGAGGCACAACCTCAGGCGGATACATTACCCATTTTTTTGCACCACGTACAACAGCATTCCATGCGGAAGTACTGTTGGGGTCGATGTGAAATGAGGAGCCAGACCTCGCAGGACCTGCAATCAGCCACCGATAATCTGGCCTCTCCTCACCAAGAATGCGAAACAGATCCTCTCTGAAGTATATTGGAACGTCGTAGTCTGCAGCTAGCTGTGGAACTTTCTCAGCAAATTTGGAGTCAAATATGTATAGAGGACGCTCCTCTTCCACAAGATCTGCGTACTTGTAGTAATCACTGAGCTTCAGGTGGATGGGACCAGCAGCAAAATCAACATCTCCAGCGTGCTTCAAAAGATACTCACGGTCCCACTTTTTAAGTGCTGGCCAGGATTCCATAACACCACGAAGGAGGACGGGCTTGTTCTGTTCCTCAAAGTCTCTAATAAAGTCTTCCACGGACAAATTCTCACGCCTCTCAATGTTGTCGGCACTTAACCACTCGGGCTTAATCTCTAGGTTAGCACACAGCCAGCTCTGGAAAAGATAGTCCGAGTAAAAATCCTTAACCTGGTTAAGAATGTGAACATGATCATCAGTACAAAACTTCTAACACTCTAAGAAAACAACAAACTTTTAATATTTGAAACTGCTTGCACACAAATAAGGAAAATATCCCTGAGAAAAGGTATTGCGCTATACGGAATTTTTGTTTTCGAGAGAAAGGCTAGTTAAAGAATCGCCGTGTACCTTCAAGGGGAGGTGAAGCTTTCCGACATTTAGCGCATGAGATGCCAAATATGTTGTCTTCCAACATCCTTTAAATGCCAGTTCTCCTTTATAACTATCCAACACCAAGTTCCGCCATAATGAATCCTGGTGTGCGAACACATAGAAAGCTCTGCTGACAAGAGCTAGACGAGCTAAATCCCGCCCATCCAAGTTGCCCAAAATATCACAAATTATTTCATCACTCAGCACTTGCAATGTTCCCAAACCAGTGTCCCTCACATTGCAGCCCTGAGTACTTAGAAGAAGGTTCCCTAATGGTTGAATGCCATAGCTGTGGGAACCCCTTTGTAGACCGTATTGGTTTTCCTGGCCTTCGTCCTCATCACCTCTATGTTCGATGTCCACTTGAGCACCTTTTCCATTTGGTAAAGAGTCTTTGTTAGGGGGTTTGCCCCGTTTTCTCTTTCGCCTTGACTTCGATTCAGCCAGATCTTGCACGCGTTCACATTCAACCTCTGAACAACACATCTCCTTGACTGTGAGCTCAATTAGTGCGTCATAATGGCACATAAACGAACCCAAAGAAGGCCATAATCGAGAAGAGCACCAATTAGTTTATAGCCATGAGTTCCATCGGCGACAAAATTTGCACAAGCAAGCTCAAGATAGTGTGCTTCTACAATTCGCATTGAACAATTCATTCAAATACTGAAATTCAATAAGGATTATTTATCTCGCCAGAGAAGAAAACCTCATCACCTGCGACCGGAACTCGTTTCAACTCAGCAGGAACTCCTGCCCTTGCCTGCTTTTCCAGATTTGCAGCTTGCCTTTTAAGTTTCTTTTTCCCTTTTTTACCGGCCACACACAATTCCTTGACTTCGCTAACACTAACAGATGGATTCTCTTCAGCAATGCGATGTGGCGCTGTAAAATAACAACGCCAGAGAACTCGTCATGCTAGATTGAAACAGTAAGGAGTACTAACCCTACCCTTCAACAGTAAGGTTCAAATGCAAGATTAACCCACCAGCAGCTTAAACCCTAAACCCCGTCTCAAGCTGTTGCAACATTCGCAACGCCGCAGCGCAAAGATAACAACACCTAGTGACCAAGTACGCACATAAACCAGTAACATCCTGCTCATACCCTCTCGTCGCTATGCAGAACACTCTCCTTAAAACCCTAAATAAACACAACCGAGTGTAAAATTGTTGGAAAACAGAGACAAAGAGCACCGCAGCTACAGCGATGATTAGGTGCAAACCCCAAGTGCAATGCTGTTCAAAAACTTACGATGATCCACCGCACGGTATTTTAGTTTGAACTTGGTAGCTGTCTTAGTTTTCGTCATTGCTTGTGTGCAATCAGATGGGCTCCAGATGCTACCCCTAACTCTCCGATACTGTCGCACAATGCATACAACATGCACCTGCAAACTCTCGAAATGCTGTGGCGGTCAAATCATTCTATAGTCATGAAAAAAGCTCTCAAAAATCTCAGATCCCTAACCGAATTCTTTGAGGGGCTCATGATGGACCAAATTTATCCAGAGGGGTTGGGAGTGAGTATAAAATTTCCCGAAAAATGGCCGATGATCGAGCTTCCCCAAAGGATCAACGATCAACAAGTAGCATGAAAATGCCGATGGGACGAATGAGAAAAGTGGTTCATCCACATTCCCAAGCTTTTGGCGTGGGACTAGTCTGCGAGAGCCATTGACTTGAATTGCAAACAAAGATTTCGAACACATTGGACCCGTCAACATTCAGTGCAACTCATTTCACGTCAATCTCATGAAATCCTCTCTCATATCTAAAACAATCAAGCATTCGTGGTAGCATTGGGCTAATATTACATTGGTACGGTGGTCTTACCTATGGGTCGATGACGATTTTGGGGCTCTTCCTTAGTTTGGGGAGTCATGAGTGTCGGAGAACAGTGGATCGTTGAGGAGGAATTAATCTCACAACGGTGAGTTTGTGAGTTAGTTGTTGGTGACAGTATCGGCATTGCCACCACCACCACTATCACCACCATGGCTGCAGCTCTAGAACCCGGGAGCAACCCCAGCGGTGCTTTGAATTGTGTTGCGTGTGGTGCGAAAGGATGTATGGATGCTAGGCTAGGGTTTCCTCCCCAGAGTGTCAGGGTGAGGAGCTAGTTGAAAGTTCGCGATGGCAGTTCTTGTCATGTCTGCAGCCCCCTGTTCAACAGATTCAGTGGCGAACAGGTTGTGCCTTTGCTCAATCAAGGTATGAAAGCCTCGCTCACCTCCTTGTGTTGCTTTACTTTGTCGAGACTTGTGTTTATGCCGAAATTTTAATAGCAATTGGACTAGCAAGATGTGTGTGTGTGTGTGTGTGTGTGTGTTTGTGTGTGAGCAGATGGGTAAATAGAATGAGATATTAAAGTGATTGGATGCTCTTCTTGCCAGATATCATAGATGGGTCTAGTACATTATTGTTAAAAGTCCATACGACTAGATTGTGGACATGTTCTTTATGACGGCAGCAACGATGAGCCGAGAAGGTTGTGGAATCTTACAGATTAGTGGATGGTTGCTTTTGGTCGAGCTGAGACTCATTATGAATGTGTTTTGATTATCAGGTGTAAGAAGCCAGAGTCGCATGAGAAAATTAGGCACGATGCAGGCGATTTTGCGGACGAATTCAGAAGAGGCCGATTATTTCTGTTGAAGTTTGAAGGAATCATGAAAGCCCACTTGAAACTGTGGATTCGGGATTCGGGATTCGGAAAAAAAAAGTTTCGAAGAAGGATGGGATGTGGATTAAATCTGGTCTCCAATCTGCTACGTTGAAGAAGATTCCTCAGTCTCACCAAAAAGGCGTGACCAACATGATGGCGAACGATATTGTTTTCATGAAGAAGTATACATGCGTGGGACCTTCCTTTAGTAAAAACACTGGAGAGAATGTTGCTTTGAGGATCATAGAAGACGAGATTGCTGTATCATTGGGCCCTGCATTTTGGCCACGACCTTAATATCCTGATTTTTCGTGTTCATGTACCCATCTTGGAGTGTTTGATTTTATACTTAAATTTAAATAGAATCTGTATGGATTTTATTTATCTTCGCTGAGAAACCGTTTCCTACGATTTGCAGATCTGCGAGGCAAGGATCTTTTGGCTGATGATTTGAAGACGCTTGAGAGCTATTCGATCTCTATACAGGGTGTATTTTAGGGTTTCAAAGATACCCCTACAAAGTGAGTACATCCCTGATCAAGTTTCACCTTACTTCTACGGTCGTTCGCATATTCTTTTTTTATTTCGTTTTCTTGAGGTACATGGCGTCACATAAATTCACTTGTATAGTAATGTAAAAAGGGAATCATTTACTTTTGTTATGACTTGCATTGTGGTTTCTAGCATTTGTGCGCCCCGAGAAGTATGTTCATCTTCATCAGAACCAAAGTTAGGGTTCTCTTGTGGCAAAGTTGTAGGATTGATGAAATGTACTGTCTTGGCGCTGCGTTAGGTTCAGTAACATTGAAACATATTATACGAATGGCTACTATGAAGAGAAACTTTCTAAGTTAAATCTCAGAGAAAGATAAGCTTGAAGTTACACCACTGACAGCTGCATCCTTGAAATAAGCCTTGATTGGGCTCGGCACCACTTGTGTCAAAGGTATTTATTTGTTTTCTTTAGATGTATTTACATGTTTTTCTCTTATTTTACTGCATAAACTGCGGTTTGAAATGGTTCAGTTACATGAATATGAGCACTTACACTATTGTTTTAACTTGAATGCAGTTGCACAGTCTCTCTCTACGAGACCCGACTTGGGACAGAAACTGAGTTCGGAGTTTGGCATTCAATGTTCATAGCTGATGAGAATTTATTAGATATAGATGATTTATCTTATGAATATATTTGAATATCAGATGATAATGTATACTAGTAGTAGGATGCATAATCTCAAATAGGAGTGATTTCATTCTAGCCTGTCAACGGGTGGATCAATACCATTTATGCTCTGGTAACATATGAGCTCAAAGCTGAATCTGCTGCATCGAAAGTACTGGGAGGCATAGACAATCCTGAATTAAGCGCCAGCAGCTTTGCAGGGTTATTTTCAAGGCAAGGCGTTGGAAATCGCCGTGTTATTTACTGGGCAGACGCACGAGACCTAGCGTCTGTGCTCAATTCTGCTGGAGCTGCCAAATTTCGACGAAACCTTGCATAGAGTATTGGCGAGGTCTTGTTCAGCATACTGAAAGGGAAACATAATGGTTCAAGGGGCGAGACCAAGGCTGAGGCAGCTCTGCAACCCAAGACAATGGTCACGTTCGAGAGGCCATCAAATGTTAACCTTGAGAAGCGTCATGAAGGCAATCTAACCACTTGTCCTGGGGGCATTTGTTTCCCGTCGGGGTTCTCACTTGCAAGGTCAGTTGGCTCTTTGTGAAGCTCATAGAAGTGATTCGGAGAAATTGCAATAAAACGTCTGCAAACCCATTCATTTCTTGGAAATGACATACAGAGGATCCGGTAAACTATTTCAAGCTGGTCACGATTTAAATGAACCACGTCTCAGTTCATCTACTCTGGTCTTTATAATCTTTTGTTTCTACATTTCAGTTTGTTGATGAAGACCAAGTAGAGGGAACGTCTTGTAGGTTTAATTACTTAGATACCATGATATGAAACAATTTGGTCATGTGCACCTCAGTGCGTGCATATTTAGAATCGGTGTAGGTTCTGACTCCGGTGTTACCTGGTTGAGAGTGATAGTTAATTGTTGATGGTTATCTCCATCGAAGAAAGACGCTGTTTTTTCATGCATTGCTATTCGGATCTCTGCGAACTAATTTCTGAGATTTTAAGATGTGATCCATGTTTTGGAGTCATGTACTGGTGCTCTTTTCTTATGTCAAACGCTTTGGGACTTTACGGATTGATAATCCAAGCCTTGCTTACAATGTTTAATTTATACACAATTTGCTTGCGCTGCATTAAACTCCCGAGTTGCTGTAGCTGCAAAATGGAACCGTATCTACAGAGATTTTTTTAATTTTTTTTGTACTTAACTGCTGGTGCTTGCGCCTGTCCAGAATTTTGTTGAGCAGTGTGTTATTTGTTGCGCTAATCGCAAGTATTTTGACCCACATTGGATCATGGATCTGATTAGGCATGTGCTAGAACAGCATTGAAAGCACAATGGAAACAGTGAATCAATTCTTCCAAAAAAGAAAAAAAAGAAAACAACCAATCTTTTTTTTTGTGGGATTGAGTCCATGAAAGAGTGGTTGACCCAAGTAATGAAGATGAAGTTCGGGCACAGTGTACACGTATAAAGTATCGGTTGGATTGGATCGTTCATCCAACCTCATCCTGAAACACCACCATCACCAATGCCCCTGTCACTCATCTTGTTGCACTTTGCAGCCAAGTTGTGAGGGTTTTGCAGGGTTTTTGGAGTTTTGGAGGCTACTGCTGCTAAATCTCTATAGCACCCCTAATTTTTCTCACGCTCGCTGTCACGTATTTCCTTGAAGTTGGGTTTCTGCTAATTGCCAACAAAAGAGGTTCAGTTTGGCACGAGATTAGCAGCAGCAGCAGCCCCTCTAAGGAGTATTCGTTGATTTAGTGTAGCTTTGATTCGTTGCAATGTCGCTTCCAATTCCAGAAGCCCCATGTTTTTTGAATTTGCAGCAGTAAAGAGAGAGTGGAGGTAAGCAGAGATGGCCATGAGGCTAGGTGTTACGCCGACACTGCACTTATCGTGCAGGCTTCGGCTGCTTCGTTTAGAGTCTTCGCGTCAATTCTCAACCTCTTGTCCTTTGCTCGTTCGCCTGCCAATCTGGAGGCGAAATTTTCACTTCCCTTCCCATTCTAGTGTTCCTCGCATTGGGCTCTGGCGCCGTTCAATCGTAGCTATCTCCTCAGGGCCATTCGGAGAAGGAGAGGATACGACTGATGCGGGGAAGGCAAAGAGCAGGAGGAGTGTAGCGTATGACTTGTCGAGTGGATTTTTACAAACGCGCAGGCAAACTGAGAAGATCGCATTAAGAAATTTGGCACAGGATGATGATGTCGAGGATTGGGAGAAACCTGACGACGATTATTTGGCAAATTCCGATAAGTTTGTGCAAAATCGAAGAGATGACTCACGTAGAGAAAGTTTGAGGTACAGGCAAGATAATAATAGGAACAGCAAGAGAAACATTCTTTCATCATCTGAGGAAGACGACGTCGATGGGAACTATAGCTTGAATAGCTCGCAACCTCGGAGCAGGGGAATTAGGTCAACACGGGAGGAGGGTTATGACGAGGATTCAGATGAGGAATTCGGCAATTGGACGGGTTCCAAAGAACCCAGTCAAAACTTCAAGAAGTCTAGCCTATATAAGAAATCAGCGCCGCCTTCTGACGATGATGTGAAGCCTCAGCAAGGCACTGGGTCAATTAGGTATTCTCCGCTTCCCCCCTCATCGGGAGCTGCTAGCAAACCCGCCAGATCCTCAGGTCGCAAGCTACCTCGGTCCAATCCGAATCCCTCTTTATCTTCTTCTACCATTGAATTGTCTAAGGTTGAATCCGATGTCAACAATTCATCAGGGGGTACAGATTTTATCCCACCTGTTATCAAACCCGAACTTCCCTACCAGTACAGTTATACCGAAACACCCAAAGTTGCGCCAGTAGGGTTTAGGGAGCCAGTGTACTCCCCATTCGGACCTGAAGGGGTGAACAGGCCGTGGACAGGACGACCACCTCTTGCGAAGAGCAAAAAGAAGCCACGAGAGTTTGATTCATTCAATCCGCCACCGATTGGTAGAAAGGGCGTCAAGCCTGTTCAAGCACCTGGGCCATACCCAGAGGGCCAAGGGCCGAAGCTGGGGCGATCGAGGGAGGAGATCTTAGGAGCACCTCTTACCAGCGCCGAGGTGAGGGAGCTTGTGACCAAGGCTCGAAAAGAACCTCGACAGATCAATTTAGGTAAATATTTTTGCAATCAGCTGCATTTTTCTTGAGTTTTGAAGTCTTCTATGATAAGGTTGTATTAGGTTTCAACTTCCAGTGACTTTTTCGCTATTTGAAGCGTTTGTCTGTAAGGTGTAGGTTTTGAACTGAGAATTCTAGTTGGTGTGCACCTCTTTTTCTTCTTCTTCTTCTATAAATACCTCTCGTCAATTTTGTAGAACGACCTCCTCGTCCTTGGCATTCCTTGGATGGGATATTGCACTTGTTTGTAACATAAAGATCTTGTTATTGTCTTGACTCTACCTTATGGTTTGGTATCACTCCAGCTCTCATTTGGGAGCTGGCTGTTTTGTGGACTACTCTATGCAACAGCAAATCTGATCCTAGTCTGTTTTGTTGATATGAAGGAAGGGATGGCTTGACGCACAACATGCTAAATCTTGTGCATGAGCATTGGAAACGCCGCCGCGTTTGTAAAGTAAAGTGCAAAGGTGTCCCAACCGTGGACATGGATAATGTCTGCCGCGTGCTTGAGGTCTGGATACTTTGTTTTCTCTCCCTCGTAGGACGCATTATTAGTTTGTATGGTTATTAGCTTTTGCGTATTTGAGCATATTATGTCTGATCTGCAACCCATTTCTGCCAATGACAATTGTTGAACTGATCCAGTGATTTCATGTGCAGGAAAAAACTGGTGGCAAGATTATTCTTCGACAAGGGGGTGCAGTATATTTATTTCGTGGACGCAATTATAACTATAAGACTCGGCCTGTAATTCCGCTTATGTTGTGGAAGCCACCCGCACCTATATATCCTAAACTCATAGAAAAAGCACCTGCAGGTTTGACTATCGAAGAGGCTAATAATCTTCGGAAGCTGGGACGGGAACTCCCGCCCGTTTGTCATTTGGGTGAGGATTTTTTGAACTATCAATTTTTGGTCTTTCTCTTTACAGTTGCTAGCTTCAAAATTTCTGCGTTAAGAAATTTCTCACTGAGAACAACACTTCGCATTTGTTGCATTGTACGTTGAAAATTCTGGTTTGATGTTGCTTTTCGCTCGAGGATTCTGACAACCTTATGTCTTGGTTGGTAGGAAAAAATGGAGTATATGTTAATCTTGTTCGGGATGTGCGAAACGCCTTCAAAGTGGATGACCTGGTTAAAGTGGACTGCAAGAACATGAATCCCAGTGATTATAAGAAAATCGGTGCTAAACTTAAGGTAATCCTTGATTAATTTATTAGTTTATGAATTGCCTTCGTATGTGTCAATCGTTTCCCTGTCTACTTTTTGTATATCTATTATTTGTTCTTGCAACTCTGGTAGTCATTCACAGTTCCTTTGTTGTTTCACTTGAGTAGGATCTGGTGCCATGTGTACTCCTCTCTTTCGAACGTGAAAGCATCTTGATGTGGCGAGGACCCGAATCGCTAACTGAGAGCTCAAATAGCGTTCAAGGAGATAGCTCGGGTGAAGCTCAACCAGATTTTAATCAAGAGTTACCTGAAGACGGTCAAGAGCTGCTGGGAAAGACATTGCTGAACGAAGGAAGTCAAATATTGGACTTTTCTTCAAATGAAGATGAGGAGCTTGCTATGTACGAAACAGACACAGACACAGACGAAGACCAAAGCTTGGAAGCAGCCTACGATTCGGACATAGATGAATCAAGTATTGATGTAGATCAATCCTTTGAAGCAGAGTACGAGCACGACGATGAACATGGCTATGAATCATTAGGTGGAAACGTCCGTGTAGAGATGGATCCAGAAGTGGAAAAAGCAGTTAGGGAATTTGAGTCATTATATCAAGGAGCATTAGACTCGGAGCAAGCTTTGGTATTAGAGGAGAGTGAGCTGGACCCTGACACTTTACTTCAAGTGGTGAAAAGTCGTTTCGGTGGTGCTTTCGGCGCTCCAGCCAAATACAGAAGCAAAAGAAACAGAAACGAAGTTGTAGGTAGGAAGGCATTGCTTAGGGCTTCACAAACACAAACACAGGATTCTTCAGCGCAAGACGATGATGATAAAGGAGGTCCTGAGGAAGCAAGTAAAAAGCCACTGAAGGGTCTGAGGTTGGATCCTGCAGTGCTGGATAGGGTGCCCAAGGATCCTTCTGGGTTGTTGCAAGTTGATGAATTAGCCAAACTCTTGGCTCCATAGGTGAATTCTTAGCATAGCATGGGATTCTTTGCACTCTTGGATCACTGTATTCATATTTACTAATCTTCGTGGAGAGGGTTTAACATGGCGTGTTTCAAAGCTCGATCAGAGATTAGAATTTTTACTTAGGACTCTAGTGTTATTTGAGGATTTTGGGTCATTGTTCAACATATTATCACAGTGATTTTAACTTTGATACATGTAAAATTCGCTTGCCATGCAAACTTAAAATGATGAACATGGAACTATCCTGCTTTAACATAATAAAATTGCGTGATGGCATTTATGAAGTTCCACATTTATTGCAAAGGAACTTTGTAGTGTTCATAGATGTCAGTGCATGAATGATTCATGAATTCGGTTTATGAAATGATATCAAACCTTGAATAATTATCCTCAATCTTAAACATGAGTAATCTGTTGCAAGACAACGGCATTGCAGTACACTGAGAGGTGGATTCAAATCATGTACAATTCTGATTTTAGAATTCATGAATAATTTATGTCTCAAATAACATATGCATTTTAAGATGATGAATAGTATTTAAATTAAAAAATATCATAATAATTTAAAATTATTTCCTTTGATTGAAATTTGTGTAAATTCTAGCAAGATCTTGTTTAAGTAATGTATGTTTTGCAAAGAGTACAAAGAATAAAAGAAACTAGAAAAAGAAAATAGAAAAGAGTTTTGTAGTCCAATTTCTTCTAGAGAGCTTTTGTTGCTAGGACTCGAACTCAGGTCGCTTAAGTGAGAGCTGAGTATCCTAATCTTAAAGTCCCTTCCAAGGTTAAAAAACAAAGCACCTAAGTGAGGTACAAAAAAGTGCGAGGCATGATGTTATTGCTTAAATGCCTAGTAATAGGGCTAGTGACTATAAGAGGATATATCAGACATTTAATCCTATAACAAATTTAATATGGGTAGGCTAGTGCCATGTGAGATGAAGATTGAAATCTTGTATTTGCCATTTAGTAGCATGATTGATTCAAATGACTAATTAAGAAATCAAATTTATTCAATGACATTACTATATATTGTGAATTTACCTCCAAGGACTTATTCGTAATTGAGTTTGGTCATCGGAGATAGCGAGTGCTTAAGTTAAAATATCTTCATCTATTTACCATCTAATCATAGAAGTTTGTACTTTGGAAGTGTTGTCCTACAGTACCATAAATCTCTAGTGCAACAAGACTACTACTAAAATGAGGGTTGTTTCTTGTACTTTCAACTAATTGGTGAAGATCCTCTGGCCTGTAGGATGTTGCATCAAATTGTCATTGGCACTCCTCTTAGATCTATTATTGACAATATCTAGTACGGGATATATCTAGTGATTGTAATCTTCTTTCTTTTTCTACTTCCACGAGTATTATATTGATATCTTGTGCTATTTGATGATTTATTAATTGGACTTTTTATACATATTGTTGGCTCTTTGGTGGTTTTATTCTTATTTTAATCTTTCTTATTCACGTTCTTATCTCTTTTAGTTGACTTCATGTTTATAAATTGGATCAAGATTATGTGGTATAGAACTTTTGATGATATAAGGGCTTGATAGTTGGAGTTATTCCCTCATGTCTTGCTTTACCTCTTTGAAGAGCTTATTAATTTCAAGTAAAATATCATGACTATTTTTTGTCTTTGAGGTTCTTCTAGTGTCAAAATTAGGAGGCATTGGTATATTTAATTGAGGTAGTATTTTTGCCAATGCTTGTGGTAGGAAAGATTTTGGAGGAAGCCAATTCCAACATAGAGGGTTTCTTTGTATTGCAAATACATCTTGGTCTATCCACACTATTTGAAAAAGAGTTATCATGTTGCTTAATTTCTCAGCCATGTGCCTGTACTTGAAGATGCTATGCCAGATTTTAGAACTTATGTGAATAATTCTTTTTCATGTATAAAATAGAACCTTGCCTAGTAAGAAGGTGTTTCTTGATATCTCTGTTTCACACTTCTAGATTCAAATATTCTACTTCATACTCACCTTTAAGAAGTCTTAGGGTGTTTCAATATTGACTTGTACTTTGTTTTTAAAGCCTAAAAGAAAGGTTCATGATATGATGTCTGTGCTTGGATTGTTCATGAGCTCAAATTTGACCTTGTGCTAAAAACTATATAAATCAGGCAAGCTAAAGTGAGTTCTAAGGATAGATAGTTGTCGCTATGCTTGTGATGCATATTTATATTTGAACAATGCATGTTTTGTAGTTTTAATCTCTCTATTTCAACATAATCTATAAGTGCTTGTGCCTATTTCCCTCAACCTCCATTCTCCTATAGGAAGGCCCCCTGTTATATATAACCACTCCATTGCAGCTATTTTTCAAAGAATCTAGGATTGCCATAGTTATCTAATGAAGGCTTTATGCTATTTCAAGGTGTATCTATCAACTATCAATTCTTGTGGACTTCTCATAAGGTTGTTTGTTTTGAGTAAATTCACTTTGTAGCCATGTTTAGTTATATATTGGAATTTTTTTTTCATGTAATGCATTTAATTTGGTCTATATGCATTCTTTTGGATCCTATCCTAACTGATTCAGACGAACTTTCTCAAAAAGCCAAAGTCTTGCTGCCTTCATGAGATCAGAAGAATTGAATTCCAAACATGATCTCTCTTATATAATGTATAGATTACTTATATAAGGTGTAGTGTTTCTTCTGGTAGGATGTCAATACCTTCAAATTTTGGGATTAGTTTCTCTATTGAGAGCATGTTATATTTTTGATTGTCCCATTCCATAGTTCTATAATTAAAGAGATGATAGATAGATGTTAAATTTGTGGTCTCAAATATAATTCAGTTCCCTGTTTTGATTAGAATGAAATTAAAGAGGGTCTAAGATATTGCTCTTAACAGTAATGTCCATTGTGAGCTTACTAATGAAGATCATATTATTGACTTTATGAAGGCCACTATATGCCATGTACCGAAGGATTGAAAGAAAACATCTTGGATCTAAAATATATTCTTGTTTGCTCAAATAGAGAAGCTTGAGGTGGATTCAATACCAACAGATAAGCCATTTGTCTACATAATTAATTGATTATCTAACAAGGGCTGTTTAAATATTTCAGTAGTCTTTTTATAAGGTTTTTTCTTCAGCCCTGATTTGATAGAAGTCCAAGCTTGAAAGATGGATCTTCAAAGAAGTTAACTATGTGGAGAAGTGTAATCCACTTTTATCTAGTAGACATGTTAGGGCCACCTCACAACTCTTATTGGCTTAGTTCTATCAAGATGGTAATAAATAAAGGCCTTCCAAGGTTCATAACTCGGTTTCACGTTCTTTATCACCAATTTGGTCAAGAAGACTTATGCTTGAAGACATAGATCAAGTATCTTTACTCTTCCTAAGTCTGTCATCTAAGTAGACCAACTGATCTTAATTCTAATAGTATTTTCTTTCTTTGCTTCTTAGGTATAGTTACAGTATAGAGTTCATATTTGTTTAAATGTGGCATTAAATATAGTTGAGCAAGAGTAAAAATAATATTTAATTGTTAGAATTGATTGATTTTTTGTCATGATTCTACTTGCTAGGGAGAGTCCTTGATTCTCTTATGAATTATTCTACTAATTAATTCTTGGATAATCTTGTTTGTTGTGTCTTCTATAGGTGATATGAATCTTATTGGAAATTCTAAATATCTCATAGGAGATCCTCCTGGAAGCCAATTCAAACCTAAATTTTTTATCCACTACCATATTTTGTGTTAAGATGAGATCCAAATACCTACAAAAATTTTCTAATTAATTTTGGTACTACTAGCCTTATAGTAAGTTGTTCGTATCTTCATGGTTGCATCAAAGTTGTCTTCATTTTCTTAGATATAGAGTGCCAAGTCATGTGCATACATCTAATTGTTAATAAAGCATCTACCTGAGAGTTTGAATCCTACTAAAGATCTATTGGAATCTTTTAATATATGTCCTATAACATCTTCGACAATTAGATAAAGATATGGAGCTAGAAGATAGTCTTGCCTCACTAACCTTTGAAGAAAAAACTATTTCTCATAGGTGCCATTTAGTATAACATAAGCAGAGGCTTCTTTATAAAATGATATAATGAGGTCGATCCAATCTTGAAGAAATCCCATGTGTAGTATTACTTGTTGGAAGAAAGTCTAGCTAATTCTATCATATTATAACAGGACATCGATAGGATATTTTTATTATTTGCATATAGAGACATGTAGTTGGAGTTGTTTTTGGAAAGTTTCTAGAATTGAGATAAGGATGGTGGTTTATATGAAATCTACCATAGAATCTTTTAAAAAAGCTTAGGGCAATTACCATAGTAGGATCTACCTCTAAAATCTTTTAAAAGAGTGGTTATCTTGGTAGAATCTATCATTAGAGATATTCTAAAAAGTTCCAGGGATAGTTGAATAAAATATAAATAAGACTAATTGAAGCCATTTGAGCATTTGGTTAAGTATGGCTTTAGATTCTTTCTCTTAGTAAAATTTGGTTTCTTTTTTTTTTGTTCTATTTTGTTTGATTCTATTTTCTTTTACTTAGTACTATCTTTCATGTTCCATTCTATTTAATTACTTTTAGTTTTATTCTAGTGTACTTGGTCTTACAATATATTACAATCTTTGTTGTTATGAAATTCGTAAGGTTTTAGACCTTAGAGAATCCAATCTTGTTTCATTGATATTAGAATGAATATTAGTCTGTTCTTTGGTAGTATATTAATAGCCATTGTTTAGTTAAAAATCAATTCTTTTGATCACATTTGATATTATTTTGGAACTTCAATGAGCTACTTTAAGAAGTCAATTGGAAGGTTACAATAGTAAAGTTCAGCAAAGAATTTGTATCATGGGAGATATGGTAGAGCAATTTCAAAAAGAGACTTAGATATAACTTCTCTTAAGCCACATAGCTATTCTATAAGGGTAAATAAAAGATTCTAAGATAAGAGAGTTGACATCTACTAGGCTGAAATTGAACAAGACCAATATATACTCGGGGACCTTAAGATAAGAAGATGTATGCAAATGGCTCTTTAGCATATAATAGTACCTTCAATTATCTATTGCAAATACCAGCAAAGGGATTACATATGCCTCTAGTTATTTGAAAGGTGTATCAACTATTTGATGGTGATATCAAACTCAAAGCTATAGAACTCAAGGCAGATTTTGTCACTAAGAAGAATTAGAGACCAAACTAAGTAGTCAATTTTGGTCCATTAATGTAAGAAAGTTATGACACAATTAGTTGGTTAATCTTATACAATCCAAATGAGTACAAGATTATTTCTTT